CTTTGGGTACCCTGTGCAATGCCTAATGCTGTTTTTATCAGGCAAACACTCAAGTTGACAACTAGGGTACAAACCTCTGTAAAAATCCAATGACAGTTAGAAGAAAGTACAATGGCCAGGAAATTCAGAACCTGCACACTTATGCACCTATGATTTATTCTTTATGCAGCAGATGACAAACCAAGAAAAATCAAAGGAGCAAGAAAAAACACAGCACATTATTCATTCGGTGCATTTGCAAAATACTGTTGAAATATTGATGCTGTACTTTAAAGTAGTAAAGTGTCTCAACACAGTGTCTCAGCATTACTGAACTCTTTCAGTATCCCAAATCATTGCTATTTTACAGCGAGATAAGACTGGAGTAGTAAATAAGACAATTTGGGTGAATTTCCTAAAAATAGTAAACTATTTTGGAATTTGAGTCTCTTCTTCAAAAGTCCCCAAGGATTTAGAAGTCTACAAAGAGACCGTGTAAAACCTAGTATCAAAAGAAAAAAGCGAGACCTGCGGGGCAACTCCAGCATCAGGCTGGCCCTCTGGTTTCTTTACACCAGCAGAAACCAACACGTGCCAAAGAGGACGCATGGCTTGATTTTTAATATTTGTCAGCAATGCCATCAGCTAGGTTTTTGCCCTATGGAAGAGATGAAAAGCCACCATCCCTCTTCCTTAGGGGAAGGGATGGTTAAGCAGGGCAGCTTGCCATGAGGGATGCAGTTTCTGGCCTCCAGGTGGGAGTACAAGCCGTGGCCCCAAAGGCACCCCATCTCCCACCGCTCCTGCTGGTGTCCCACGTCAGGGGAGCAAGGATCCCCCACCGTGCCACGTCTTGGCTCCTGCCAGGTTTCTGTTGGCAGTGCTGCACTCGTAAATGCTTTTTATCCCTTCCTGAGCCTCTGAAAGGTTGCCAGCCGATGCCCTGACTTAATGTATGGGTGGAAGCAGATACCTGGGAAGTTGCCACCACTAGCCGGCAGGACAGCAACTGCCCGAGCCCATCACAGAAACGTGAGGAAGCAGCAGCATCCCTTGCCTTCCACTGTGATTTAGGCATCTGAGTTCTGCATTGCAAACACATAGACTCCTACTACTGCAAGATTCAGACCACTGGATTTCTTCTAGGACCTCCTCTTTCAGGCCATCTCTTTTCAAAAACATCGGGGACTTCTCCTTCAAAAGGACAGAGCCAGAGAAAGAGTTGTTTTAGCTATTAGTTCCATGATCCCAGAAAATAAGCTAGTGTTAAAGAACATGGTATTTTGCCACATCCCTTGCTTTGCTCTTGCACCCATTCCGAGCAGCACCACCCAGCTTCCTGCTTTCAATTGCATATAATTTTACCAGTGTAATGCTCTGGACTTAAATTGTCCATGCATATGCCAGCCTCAGGTTGAATTAGATTGGAAAATTTCAGCTGAAGTCTTTGGTTAATTCTTAAGAGAAATTTTCTCCCTCCCTCGAGTTAAATAAACAACAGACATTTTTTTCTGTGGGATTTCTGTTACTTGGCAGTAGGAACCTGAAATGTCTCAGAGCTTAGGTCTTGAATCAGGAATAGTCTTTTGCCATGTCTTAAGAAAATCTTCCCCATTAATATCTCTCTGTTCTCCCAAATCCCTAGATCCATTCAAGGTAAGGCTTCCTTGCAGGCAACAAATGAAGCAAAAATCCAACAATCTCTCACTACATAATCCTGTATCATCCCTACAACTCATTCAACCTGATCAATACAAAAAGGAAGGAGTCACATGGGAAAAATATTATAACATAACATAACATATAGGTTTGTTTATGGGTACAGTCTTCAAAGCACGTACCCAAAGGGCTCAAACTACCATTTCACAGATCACCTTACTTTTGGAATTTTGCAACTTCTCGGAGTTGAGCTTGCAGCCTTAAGAACGTTAGTGCAACATCTTTTGAGTGTTATTACATATGCAACAGTCATCCTTTAGGAGTGTTTACCTGCAAGAGGAACTATGTGGTGTCACATATATGACGGTCTTTTAAAGATTTCCCGTGGACTAAAACTAAAGCGATATATACAGAATATTAGTTTTGATTACAACTACTATGCCGCAAAAGAAATGGATTAAAAAACCCCACATACTGTAACTTACACCCACACAACCTAAAATGCACTGGTCTATTTTATGCCTCTTTTCAGGCTGTTTTTAGGCATTTCTGTAACAGGCTGAGTGGCCATTTTCTTACCCCTCACTTCACATCTTCACGTTTACTTGAGCCCAATTAAAGCAATGGAATATACGCATGATCCATAAAGACAAACAGTACACTTAATTAGATAGGTAACCTGACTAAATGAAGGCGAACAAATATTTCCAGCCTTCCATAAGCCTAACAGGAAATCAAAGCACGTATTACGAGGGAGGCATTCTGCACTGTATTTATACAATCAAAGGTATATTTAACAGCTATTAACAACAGAGATCCTAATTTGTTATTCACCTTGTTTACAGACCTTCAGAATAAGAAAGAAAACAAGATCATGGCCTTCCAGAAACATTATGACTTCCTTTTATTCACAGTAGTTAAGAGTAAATGGAAAATTCACTTAACGTAAAACAAAGCAACATAATTCTGCTAATGCCAACCTCTACTTTCCTTTTTAACTGTTCATTGAAGAAAATACTGACACCCCTCCAGGGCCTGGAGTGCACGCTACTGGCCAGGGACCTTCCCAGTCACTTCTGGCATAGAGATGGGAAACGACCCCTCCAAACACAATATGAAGAAATACCATGAAAATCTTGGCCAGCTGATAACAGGAACATAACTCTTTCAAGCCAGCAGAAGGAAAAGTCATTTTAAAGCATCTCCCTTTCATTCTGCAGCAATTAATACATGTCCTAAAATGCCAAGGGCAGCAAAACACTCAAAAAGTTGCACCAAGTGAACCTCAGGGAAGTCTGATAAACCTTGCGGCACAGAAATGAAGGCCTGTGTTTGTAACTACACACCGTATTTCCAAGTTCATGGCACTCAAAAAGTAAAAGCAAGACCAGCCTTCAGCTATTCCCAAGCAAAGCTTCAAAGCAGTGTATTTTCACAAACAGGAACATATATTATCTTTTGTGCTTATCTGAATGCTTTCTACACTGAACTGCATTAGCTGACTTGTACAATTCCAGTAATTCACCTCTGACCTTATGTCAAAATTGGGAAAAGCATTGCACCTCTTGAACTGGGAATCACAAAATAATTTAGCTTGGAAGGGATCTCTAGGGGTCTCGGGTCCAACTCCCTCTGCTATTTCACCATCTCATTACGAAATTTCTTTTCCTGCTGCCCAGGAGGCAGTTCATTGTCCCACACTTGCAGTCACAGCCTCTCATCCTTCCACTGGGCACTCCATGAAGAGTCTGACTCCATCTTTTCTACAACAACTCATCAGGAAGCTGAAGATTGCAATTAAATCCCCACTGAAATGAGGTAGCTCTGCAATGAGTACATTGTTAAATATACAGAAGACTAGACCACTATCTTACATATGTATCTAGTTTTGGATGTTTTTACTTTGCACTCTATGACATTGCACTCCTTTTCCCCAACTGGATCCCAACCTCAACCTCAGTATAATTTTGCAGGCACCTACCTTCAAGGTTTGCAGCATAAAACTCACGATTGATCTCCACTTCTGGAAGCTGCTTCTAGCTGCAGTATCAAGAGTGCTAGCAATGCACATACACTTTTTATTTGCAAGCAGGATTGATTTCCCTGTCCAATAAATTCTGACCCCTCGACTGACTTTCTTCAGATGAGGGAAAGCTGCTTCTATGTTTGAACTTTTAGTCTGCATTTCCCCAGGAGAACTAAACTCTTCAAAGTTCACATTTTCACTTAGCTTTAGCTACACATACTTTTTCTGTGATGACTCTCTAATGTCCAAGTCACAGTGGAGGTGCTTTCAACAAGGAAAATGGCTGACACTATATTTTCAACAACGTGCAGTGAATCACCAGTTCCTCCTCTTAAAAAAAAAAAAACAAACCAAAACAAAAATGATCCTCCTCTGATATTGCTCACTGCTTTGGGACCAATCTCACACACATTAATTATTTAGGAATTCCTAAATCAAAGAAAGACTATTAAGATGGACAGCAACAAAGCATCTTCTCCAAGAAAAACATTTCGGAACACTTCAGGAAATCGAGCGGTAAGTTATTTTTTGTTCATTCTTTTCCTGTTGTGGCTTTTTTTTTTTTCTTCAAGTGCACCCATTTCCTATTGACCGTGTCTCATTTTTACCTCTAGAAAAAAAACCCAACCCTTTGGGATAAGCATTTGAAGTGACCCCAGTTTGACTGCCTGTATATTTGCTTACATTTTGACTTTACTGCCTTGGAATAAACACTAGGCGAATGGAACAGAAATTAAATTATACTCATCAAAAGCAAAGCACTAAAACACAAAATATGAAGGAACACACATACTCAGAAGGAATGGTTCCTTGGTTGATCCTTCTTTTTGTCTGAAGGCATCATAAAAGAAGTTACGTTTCATTACTGAAAAAACATTTTGGTTTCTTTGGTGGTTGCAAAGAAGGGTAATTAAGACTGTCAAGAAAAACACACTGAACAGCTGTATATTGTTAACAAAAGCACGATTATATGACTGCGCTGAAAAAACCTGGCAATTTAAACATTCACATTTCCTAGAAGTCAGGTATTTTTCCAAGCTTCAGTAGATACCAAAAAGTTGTTTTTTTCTCTAAATCTTGGTTGTGTGTCAGTCCATATTTCAAGCCAGCAGGATGGTCCTGGTTTGAGAACACATCCACATACATAAGGAGAAGCGGATGGGAGTATCAAAGCTTCGCCAATTGAAAACTGAGTCACCAAAAAATAAATTTTAAGATACTTTTTAAGCTGGATTTAGCTGAATTTTTCTTAGACTACATGTATGCCTGAAAACCAAATAAAGACAGAGTAATCCTTCCAGCCTGCACTGAAAAGGACCATTAAGAAAATACTTACTCATCGAAGATCAGGTCTGGAGCAAAATAGAGGAACTGGCTGTTTGTATGTTTGTACGATCTCCAACTCAAGGCAAACGATGACAGACACATCCACGAATACTGAATTAAAGTAATTTGGTCCTCGAGAGGCAAGTTTCTAAATCCTACAGATCAAAGCAGAAAATACGCATGAACTGCACTGCACTCCACAAGGGTTGCCCAAACCAGCACTGAATATATTGCTCATTACTTTTTCTAATATTAACGAACAAGAGCAACACTCCCACAAAGTATACTTATAAAAAAAACAAAACCGTAATTTTTCATTCCAGTGACAAAACATGTTTTCTTCTTAAGAGGCTATTATTCAAAATGAAGGCTTTTATAAATATCGATCACAGACATATGAAACAAAAATTACATAAATAAAAAAAACCCAACAATCTTCTCTAAGATGTTCATCTCGCACCCCCCTGTGAGGGTTTTCAACATAGCCCACAAATTAAAGATGCAATTTGTCAAGGAAATAGTTCATTAAACTAAAAAGAAACAGAAAAGAGAAATTTCACCAAATGCCTTGTGGTCCTACCTGGAAGTATCTTTGCCCACTTCACCACCTGAATCATCTGCTTGCCAGCCAGGCGGTTTAAGGTGGAAAGCAGGTACTCTGCAGTGTCTGGCTTCGAACTGTCATATCCCGCGTAGACAATCTCCGGTTCAATGCTTTCAAGGATCTTAACAGGAGAGGGAGTAAGTGCTGGTGAGATAGCAGACATGTGGGGGACAAGTGCTGTGTTTACTGAGGGCTCAGTCACGGGTGCGATGTACGTCGTCCCTTCCTCAGGGCTCTGGGGTGGTGGCTGCTGCCGCTGCTGTGGCTGCTCCTCATGCATCCCTTTCAATTTCCCCAACTTTTTGGACTTCCGAGCTGTGAGGAGGAACAGCACAAGAATCCAGTCAGTACAGAAAGTCAGCGTAATCCTGGCTTTATAGAAAATGGAAGCAGAAGTATCATCTCGGAGTTCTCAAGTGAAACAAGTGCAGGACCTTAAGAAATACTTCACTGCCAGCAGCATCGTTACACTGGAAAAAGGACCAAAAGACACATATAAGCCCATTTTCACTGCTTTACTGGATTTTTTTGGTAAGAGACAATGTCCAGTATCTGTCTCCATACAGACACGCATAAAACATCCTAGTTACTGTGGTCGGTGCCTATTAAACATTTCAGAAGTTTATTTGTTTTGCAGCTTAAATGAATCACTTATCACCTACAAGTCTGCAATTCGTGTTCTCCATTGCATTCGGTCATCAAAAGAAATCTCCCTGGCAATGCCTAAAACTAGCAGACCCAGAGCCCTCCACGCTTTTGAGTCCTACTGCCCACCCTGGCTGCACATCAACCTGAAATGCAGTCAATCCATTTTGAACAGCCTAAGCTAGTCAAATCCCTTTGCTTTTGCTGCTTTGATACTTCCGTAAGATCTGCGTCCTCTTCTCTTGAGTAGTTCTGAAATAACGCTAAAAATATTTACCCAGTTAAAGAAAAAAACACCGCGCCTTGTGTAACGTCTTTCTCACTGCTATCAACATTCCTCTAATGATTTGCCTTCCCTTCCCCTCCCCTTTTCTTTTTTTCTTTAATGCTACCCTCCCTAATTTTTTTAATTAAGTATTCTTAGAGGACAGCAATGCTAGTGTGCTTCCACTCTTTGCAGAGATGCCAGTCATTCTCTGAGGGTTGCCTTCCCAACTTTGCCATGTGAAGCACAGATAGGTAAGCAGGCAAAAAGCCCTGCTCCCGCCCCAGCAAAATGATCTTGGAGCGTGAGGAAAGCACGGGAAAGAAAAACAAGACAATTCAGTTAAAAAAACACACACACAAAAACCAAATCAAAAGCCCATCACCCCCCTTTTCACGATAGGAGAATATAACTAAAATAATCTTTAAGGTCAATAAACAATGAACTAAATTTAAATGTTTGCAGTTCTTTCAGAGTAACTTCTCTCAAATATAGTCATTCTTATCTATCTGTACACAGCTAAAACCCTTGTCTGGACTTTTATCTTCGTGTCTTTTGATTATTGCACATCCCTTTTTCTGGCATCAGTAAATACAAGTCTACCTCACTCCTACTTAGAATACTACTGCAAACACCCTTCATAGTCCATGCCCTGTCCCAAGTCTATCTCCTTGAGTTTTTTCCCCTGTCATCAACTCCCCTCCCTATCTTTCCTTAAATATAGTGCCTCTTCTGCAGTTTCAGCATCCTTTCTGGCCAGCCTCCATCTCACCCCTCCTCTCCATTATCGAAACGTTGACTTCCACTCCAGCTCAGCATGCCATGCCACTGCCACCTGGGAAGTTTTCAAAGCTTGCTCCATGTGCTTCTTCCTACTCCTCTTATTACGGTGCAGAAGACTCCCCGTGAAGATCCACAAACCTACCTCATTACTCTCCTACAAACGCCTTAAAAACCCACCTTTTCAGAAAACCCTCCTCAACAGCGGAGCTGCTGTTGCACCGAGACCTTTGCTGGCGACAGTAGCCATTAGCATTTTACTGTTTCCTTGAAATTGGGGCTGCTTGCCCACAGGGCTGCGGCTGTGACGGAGCTCGTAGCGCCTGGGAGGCAGAATACAGACGCCCAGGGTCCAGGGCAACGCACGCCCAAGTGCAACAATAGCCTGTTGTTTTCAACACTTCCTTGCTGGGACAGTACCTTGAACTCTGAGGAGCTGGCTCATCCCAAGATCCAAAAGAAAAGCTTATTTGTTAGGGTAAACATGGACATTGCGATAGAAAGCAGCGATGTTACCACTCATACGTAAGCTCTTGAAGGTGCCCAGTCAAACAGCCACTCCGTGACTACCATCTTCAAAACCTGAATGCAATTCATTACTACTGCAGACTACTGCAGCACGTATTGCACCGAGAGGTAAGTGCAAAATCTGAACAGCAGTTTGGTGTCGTTTCCATCACACAATGAAAGGTGGCTCTTCCTGGCTGATTTAAGCATTATCATCACTCAGGAGATCTACAAAGAACTTCAGAGATCTTTGCGTAACTTCCATTATTCACCTACAGCGTGTACGTCTGCTTTCAACAATATCTTAATTTCTCTATGCCTGCAAACATCCAGACCAAGTGAGGCGGGTTGAATTTTTTAATAAAAGGATTCGATATGCAAATGAAATGTGTCAGTCCTAACAAAATGTAGTTTAAAATTCTGTTGTTCAACTATCCGCACATACTTAACAAAAACTTCCTAATTACCTGAAGCATTAGCACAGACTACATAGGGAAACACAGGAATCGCTGCCATTTGAGGTTATAAGGAAGAGGCGAGACACGTTATTTGCCAGGAAAGGTTTCACTGCAACTGATTCTGCCTCAAGAGACAGGACAGACAAGAAGACCCTAGTCCCTTCCAGTTCTGTTTAGTTCTCTTCTATTACGAAACTCTTAAAAAAAGCTCATTCAAACAACAAGGCACAACTGAAGGATTTTTCATCCTCCGGTGCATCAACTTACACTGATGCTGACATCCATTCTTCAAGACGCAATTTCTGTTCCTAGTACCCAAAAAGCCATTTTACAAAGCAGCAGCTGATCAGACATTTTGTTAAACAAGCTTTTTCCTCACTCCGCAAAATAAAATGGAGGGAGTTACAGGCAAAGCAGACAACTCTGATAAATTTGATTCTGAAAAGTAAGTGCAATGCTGTTGTTCCCCGTTTGGTGCAGTGGCACCTACATGACGACATCCTGGTGAGCATTAAATATAGTTTAATTCATCTTAGAAAGGCAAAGCTGAACTTACACATTTTTCAACAAAATAAATCCCCAAAGCAAAGCACGGATGGCCAAGTTCAGCAGAATACCTGATGATGAGTTAACAAAGCTACTGGCCACTGAAAAGAGAGTTTAAAAATAAGCCTGAAGGAGTGGATAGAGATTAATGTTTGCTGTTACTACACATTAAGTTTTATCAGGCGCTATTTTTTTTTCTGTTATCAAAAAAGGACTGAAAATAAAGAACTTTACATAACTTTCATGTTTGCAGAGGTGAAAAAAAAAAAGCATTCTCACCATAACCTCACCAGAGTAAGAAATGTATCGGTTTACCAACTCCATCAAGTATCCAGCAACACAGATAACTGATTACATATTTATTAAGATAGAATTTTTTATGTTCTATTCTCTAAGAGTTTTTCATTAAAAAAAAAAAAGAAATAACATTCTTCCATGTATAATACTGGCATAAAAACGTGTTTTAGTTTCATTTTCTTCCATTATAATGCCTTTAAAATGAAGCTGAGAAAAACATTACTGCTTGACAGTCATGTTTACAGTGAAGAAAACTGTATTTTTCATTTGGCTTCATGCCAGTGCTATAGCTCAACTGGTTTGGTAACTCCCACAGAAACCAACAACTAAAGATTAAATACAAACTCTGAGCAGTACGTACTCCAAGTCGGTCTTTTGAAGCTGTTTTTCACATTTTCTCTCTAACTGCAAAACCAACTATAAAACCGACCAAGCCGCCTCCGAATCGGTGGGTAAAAGCCATGCTCATCAGGACTGCCGCGTGGAAATGTTCCAGAAGCCCCAGGCTCTCCATGCAGACCAGGGGATGGGGTACGCATGGGGCATTTCATGTGCCAAAGCTGAAGGGTGAAGCCCACCTGGGGTTAGGACAAGACTTTCATCCAACGGCTGCACAGCCAGTGACTGCATATTATCTCTAATCGCAGGACTTCTTGCTCCTCCTATTCGGCATTATTGCAGCCAGGATATTGTATTACAATCCTTGTATTTTTAAATCGTCTGAGATAGGGTAAGGGTTGAAGAAAAACAAACAATAGTGAAAGACACACTGCAGATATAACTGAGGATAATGCATCAAATACCTGACACAACTTTCGCTGAATAATTATTTTAGAAAGTCTTGTATGTTGCAATAAAAATAATGAAAAATAAGGTGAAGCATCTGAAAAGTCACATAAAGTTGGACTTTAAAAAGGCATATCCAACAGACCGTCTCTGTAGGTCTAACAATAAATGGCAGTGTAACAGAGGAACTGAATAAATAAGCTACAAGTCTGACTACAAACAGCAGTCCCTGTTCCGCTGGAAGCAACAGGCAGAGCTTTACCTGGATTTAATATGAACAGGCCTGTGTCCAACATGTTCAAAGAAAAGCCTGAAAATCCTGCAAAACCACACGTCGTTCCATGTGCTTGGAAGACCTCAATGAGAGCAGCCCGCAAACACCAGCTTGCTTATCACCCTCAATGCCAGTCCCACCTGCCTAGAAAGGGATGACGGTATTGCTGCAGAGGCACTGAGGAAGGCTGAGATGCCTTACTAAAACCAGTTTAACGCAGTCTTGTGTTAAGACCATAAGGCAAATTAACATCTTTCCCTGCTTACTACAGCCTCAGCCTTATGATCTAGCAAAAAGACAGGGCTTAATCGTTTGAAAACAGCTATTGGCAGGAGACTGGGGTGAACTGAGATTTGGACAACTGGTTTCTTAGCATTGACCCTTCATCTGTAAGACTCCTGTCACAAAGCCAAAACAGGGAGGCCTGCGATTTCAGGATGGGGAGTTTTCGCACCATCTGTAAAACACTGAATAGGCTTCTGGTCATCTGCAGCGGTGCATGCTACTCTAGGTCAAATAACAGGACCTTAAACTGGATGCGACTCTATCGTAAATTGTTTTCCAAAGACAAATTAACGTGAACATCAGCTACAAATCTATGGCATCCGTGATTTTTAAAGGTTAAGTTTGAGGTTTTAGGGTAGTTACAAGACAGGTAAGCTACTGTACGCTCTTTTTAAAAATACCATAGTAAACTTACACATTATACAAGTTGGGTCTATAGGGAGCTAATCTATACTCCCTTTGTTCCCAGGGA